TGTTCTTTCTGGGTCTGCATATCAGACACATGTCCAAAAGGCAATGACATGGCATCAAAAAAAGGTGGATTTTTATACATGGCAATGAAAAAAAAGGGTCTGGTTCTGTATCATATTTTAATAGCTTATTAAGATCATTAGTTTGTTGCACACAGGATTATCTCCTTGGTAAAAATATCTGCAGAAGCTACTAAAAAGAGAGCCTGGGCTATGGCTGGGACTTCTAGACTCTACTATAGATAAAAATATGGAGCAATCCCTCTTTCTTTCCTGGCTGGTTACAAGAAAAAGCAAAGTTGTCCAGAAGTAAAAGAATGCAGAAAGTTTTCTTGGTAAGGAAAACTGACATTAACTGTATAACTCCATAGAGAAGCTAATGCTGAGGATCAAACATACTGTGGTCAACTTGTAGGCTTACCTGAAATTCAGACATACTTTTGAAGGAGCTGTAAGCAATATCATCATAGTGAATCTAACTCTTCAGTTTAAAAATGAGGAGCTTAAAATCTTAGCTTTTAATTGATACCAATCACCCAAAGCTAAGAAAATTACACAAAATTATATATGTTGCATAAATATATGTAAAATACAGATATTAAAAATATAAGCCTGAATCCTTACTATGTTTATTTTTTTTAATTCTAGTTCCTCACATAAAATCTTAAATCTCAGGAAGATAATTTTATTTTCTTACTAAAATATATTGTTTTCCATTTTAAATCTAAATTTAAATTCCCGGAGTCTTACTTATATATCACAGTGATGCAATAGAAGAATTTTTCAAACACCTGTTTCATCTATCTTAAACATACACTTTAACATATACTTAAAGACACAAGTGATTTCTGAAAAAAATATTTTCTTAACCTACATTGTAACAAAATTCTACTAAATGGAATGTTTTAGCTGTTCTGTTGGGTTGTCCCTATCTGACTCCTGAGAACGAAATAGGACTTTCTGGGACACATTAAAGACAACTTTTAAGTTGAATTCCAGAAAGGAAATGCATGCCAGAATAAATCCATGAAATCACAACAGCTCATGGAAGATACTAGCAGCTCAAGATTTATGCACAAGTCAAAATACCGAACAGTATGGATTCATATTTTTGTTCTATAATATCTTAGAAAAAGTTCAAATGAAACAGAATTACATGCAAATTTTACTATGTCTAACACATAGCTTATAATTCTAGCAATTTAGAAGATGTAGTATAAAGAGAATATGAAGGCTAATTATAATTTTGACATTTTGAAAAGATTGCACTAAATATATCAATATGAAGAAAATTTTAATGCAGTAGAAGAGAGTGAAATAAAATACACTTTTCTTGAAATTCTTTTGTCATTTAATACTTTCATAATAGCTCTAGTCACATTCTAAAACTATTTTACAGTCCTTCAATACCACAGTGTGTCATTTTCAGATATAAGATATATACAGTATTACAAAGAACATCTGGTTTTAAATATTTGAACTCCTAGCTTCTTTCTCCAAAGTTAAACCTCCAAGGGCACTCTAAGGAATTAAGTGTCCAAACTTTTTTGGATGTCACTCAAAATCCCACCTAGACTTTTAGTAGGACTTGAAAATATCTAGACTAAGTGTCAGTGCAAGAGGATCTTAGGGTGATTCCAAACTGACTTGTTAAGGCATGCCCCAGAATGTTCTGTCACATTTTTCCAGCAGTTCAAAAAGAAATGGAAAACTAAAGGTTCTCTACAATTTTTAAATTTCCTCTTTACTGTCAAGTCAAAAAGGATCTGGGGTTCACATCTAAGCCTGAAAACATGCAGGACCCTCAAATTCAGTGAATATAGATAATGCAAAATGCAGAAAAAAATTACAAAATGTAGAAATGGAGTTTAGATGAAAAAATTCATCTATTGCCACCATCTCTGCTGATATTACTACACTGTGAAGAGAAATAAGACATGCTGAAAAATGTCCAGATTCAGAGAAGTAGTAACTTATTTTCCTTATGGTTGGAGTTCTATGCCATTCAAGTGCACAACCACAGGATTTTTAATGAAAATTATTACAAATATGTTTCAGAGAATAAACAAAACAAAAATAAAATGCAACACAACAAAACCCCAAACTACATAAAAACAGAACTGTAACAAAAGTGGAAAGATGCATAAGAAACAGCAGCGGCATTATTTTGAGTGCTTTAGTACATTGGTTCCGATAGCTCTCCATGAAATGCAGCTACCTGCACTAAACCTCATGGTTTGCCACCATTCCATCAAAAATTAGTAGAATTTCTCTTTTTAACTGCCAAATTTCTTTTGTAGTAACTCTGAGGGACATGCCACTCTATACCTATTATTTGACTAAAAATAATGTGTTAACTCTGTATTATGCAAAGTATATATGTGTTATGATGAAACTGATACTCATATTGATGCCATGCTCACAGAAATCCTATAATTGCAGGCCTATTCCTGCAAATATTGGAAACACTAAGCAGAAAACTTTTCACATCTTTTCCAAGATAATTCAGCGGTATGTGTTAGTGGAAAATATGTCAATTCACTGTTTAAATGCATGAAGGAAACAGAATCATGGGCTTACGGTCTGTAATTTTCAGGACTCTTTTGAATTCTCCACTTCCAGATCCTCCGCAACCATCTTCATCATCACAATCACCACTGATTTCTTCATCTACACCTCCACCACTGCCTGCTTGTTGGAGATCCCATTTGTCCTGTTTTGGAAATGATTTGCCCTGCAACAGCTGAAGACAAGATATAGTATGCAAGTTAGCAGTATATTTGGAGAGCTTCAGTGATTACCCAAAATTTCATATATGTCCTTAGTAATTACCCAATTTGAAAAGGAAATTTCAGGATCAACAGGATGAGAATTCGGATTTTTTAATTTTTAATTTTTTCTTTTAACCCTGACTTACAGATAGATTTAAAAGAGTGGTATTTGGAGATGTATAGTTTAGTTTTAACTAAAACCCCACAAAATAGAAAAGAAAAAAGAAAATAAGGCACCAATTTCTGTCCCTGAGGCCAAGTGGAACAGATAAGCACATAGAATCATGAAAAAGTTTGGGTTGGAAGGGACCTTTAAAGGCCATCTAGTCCAAATTCCCCTGCAATGAGCAGAGACATGTTCCACTAGACCAGGTTGCTCAAAGCCCCACACAACCTGATTTTGAATATTTCCAAGGCTGGGTCATCCACCACCTTCCTGGGAAACCTGTTCCAGCATCACACCACCCTCATTACAAAAAACTTCTTCCTTATATGTGGTGTAAGTCAAGCCTCCTTCAGTTTAAAGTCGTTGTTCTTATTTCTACCACAACAGACCCCACTAAAATGTTTGTTTGCATGTTTGTTTCCCCTTTCTTATAGGCCCACTTAGAGCAGACAGCATCTGTGTTACTTAACAGATGGACCTGAATCTTTTAAAGACCCATGTGGTATCTAGAGAGACTTAATATAAATTAATAATTTTATGTGAATTTTTCACATTTGAAATATCTGAACTAGTATGAGAGCTGTGTTGCAGCTCTATATTGGTGAATCCAAGACATTCTTGGCTGCTGTGGGTGTGTCATATGGAAATCTGCTCGAAGCTGAGGAAAAAAATATGTGTTGGGATGATATCAAATGCTTGACCAAGGAACAGCAGACCAAACTAGTACAGTCAGAAGCAGGGCTAGCATGGACAGGGCTACTTCCAAATGACATCCAGGCATTACTTTGGTAGAACTAATAAAAGTGAGGTAAAACAAAGGGATAGCTGATACTGGCCTAAGCAGTGTAGGTGATTTTGTTCCAGTAAATAAGATCTTTCTCTGGATCCTTTTTATTTTTCACTGTAGAGATGGCCAATGATATCTGCATGGTTTATAAGAAAACAGTAGAGATCTGTCTAACACATTTCTCCACTCTGTTGAGCAGTGCTATGCAATCACCTGAATAATGTTAATCTCTCTCATTTTTCAAATGTACAAGTGCTGTCATACAGTTTTTAAATACTAGGTGGTACAACTGTCATATATACACAGTGTGCCCTCTACCCCATTCAGATTCAGTTGTTTACCTGTCAGATAAATATAAAGATCATAACCTATAAAAACCCAGGTTCTCACAAATGAATCTCTTATAAATTCTTATAAGCTCATCTCATCCAAAATACCAGTTTGTACAGGTTTGTGCATTACCTATGCTTCAATCTAGGAAGACTTCTTTACATTGGCCAAAACCTCACTGTCTCAGATTCCTGAATTTATTAATCAGATAGTACTTTCTCCTTAAAGAAGATACTATTTAGTTAGAAACAGACTCATTTTATACCTTCAAAAATGTGTTTCCTTTGTTGTTTAACAAAATACTGGGTTTTCAACCTATAAACTGAGTTTATTTTCAGATTATGGAGTCACTTCCCAGACGACTAGATCTGTTAGGTGCTATACAGTGCCCAACAAAAAATATTTTAATCACTACTACAATGAGATCATTCAGATAAATCTCAATGCTTCTATAAAATCCACTTGCTCCTCTGTGTAAGAACAGGAGAATGCCACTCACCACTGAATTAGCAGAACTAATTTATGCAGCACTTTTAATTCAAAGGTTTTATTAGGCATTTATATGCTACATGAAAGACAAACTATCTAGGAAACAAAGCTCCTTGGTACTGGTGCTCTGTTCCCTGCTCATTGTGTAATCCATGCCATACTTCTACAAAATAGTATTTATTGAAACAAAACACAGACTGTTTAATGAACTACCCTCAGTTAAAGAGCACACTTATTTTTCTCCCCAATTCATATTGTGACACATTCCCAGGGCCAGTCATATGACAAGGTACTCTATCCCTGAGATCTGTGTCATAGATGTGGGCAGAAACTTCCAGCAGACAGTTTTTCTGTCTTGCTTGTCAAACAAAATGTGTTGCCAAATTTTCTACAGTATACCACATACATATATACCATATATATCTGGTGTGTGTATATATATACCTATGTGTGTGTGCGTTAATATATATATATATATATGTGTGTATATATATACACACACATTTTTTCAGCCTGAGAGCATGCATCCTCCCCTATATCTCTGTCTGAGTCCTAGAAATATATTGACTCAATAAGGTTTTATATTTTGTTGTTTCTTTAAATTCCAGCTCAACTTAGTTATTTCTCTTTCCTCTCTTTTTCTCACTTGTTTTATTATTATGCATTATTGACTAGAAACCTAAAAATACAAATGATCCCACTTAATTGCTTTAAAGGTAGGTTCAATATTGAAAAAGTTTTTTTATTTTTCCAAACTTTTCACTGTACTTGAAAAAGTAGAGATTAAATAATGTGTAAGCTCATTTGTAATTTGGACTTTGTTATTCTCTTCAATCTCCTTAATTGTACAAGAAGAAATATTGTCTCCATATAAGTTCAAAACTCTCAGTGCTGGTTCTCTACTAAGCAAGACTTGGATCTAGTATAAATTCTTTATTAAACAGAAATCCATGTAGTTCTTCAAAGCTAAATTGATTCACATTATAAATAAAGATAAAAGTTGTTTAAAAGAATTTTTCTCTTCTGCTGCACTTTTTACAAAGCTATTCTTTAAAAGGAAAATAAGTACATGTTATAACTGGAACATTTTGTTGCATATACTTAGTGGTTCTTTCAGCTGAATGAGGAGGGTTACTGAGAGAGCTGTATACTATCTGCCCCTCAAAAAAGTACAGTGACTGTTTTCCTGCTGGGTCATAGTGTAAAATAATCCCTTTTCTTTTTATTTTGTCTAAAAGTTTTTCCATCCTATCAAATTTTTTGTCTCAAAAACCCCATGAGTTTAACCACACATTATTGTCTTTCAACTTCAATGAAAGAGGCAGCAAATATAAATGGCAACCTTGTTAATTTGAATGAGTTATGGCAAAGGTTAGTTCACCACTGTTCTGAGACTGCAGTAAATACACCAATATTCCAGATTTGCTGCTTCTTAGACTTGATGGAAGTTTATTGAAAGAAGACTTTGGCATCAAAAGCATGTCCTCTGCTGGTGGCCTTTTATTTTCCCAGAAAATTTGTGCACCACTACTGTGGTACACGTGCAAGGGGGAGTGATTTCAGTGTAAATCAGCTGAAAGGTCCTCGGGAGTCTTCAGCTACAAAGGCTGGGGAAGTTTGTCCTCACCCTTAGATCTTTTAGTGCTCAGCTGCCAAAATACCTCTCAGGACTTTCATTGATGGCTTAATGGAATGCTTTCTTTGACCCAAAAGCAATTCTGAACTAGGCTATAATACCAAAAAGTACCATTAATAAATTTAGTGAAATTTCACCTTTTAGAATGAAAATATTTGAATTTCAGAAGTTACACTGTTGTATTAAAGTACTTCCAGGGTTCTGTAAATATATGACTCCCTGCCCTGTAACATTTCAGTATGAAAATGAACTGCTTGCAGCAGCTACAGAGGCACCTTATGAGGGTACTTAAAGCTTCTCAACAAATCTCAGAGTCTAAATTAGGAAAATTATCCCTAAGGATGTATGATTATTGTACAGTCCTATAGGGCCTTGTAATCTTTCAAGATTATTTAAGACTTTTATCAATGATCTGGAAAGCAAAATGAAAAAAAAAAGTGTTAATGATAAATCTTTTACTGCCACGAGAACTGGAGAACTACTAAATAACAAAAAGAAGTGACAAACTAAGAAAATCTTATCTGGCAAGTGAGGCAACTGAGTCAATTTTAAAACACATACTATAATAAAATACAGACAAAAGTAAATTTGCAAGTCTAAGTATTGTATTACATGCATATTAAAAGACAAAATATTCTGTTTCGTAAATTAATTGTGGGTGTCCTGGGTAGCTAGCAGAATATGAATTACCCAGAGCAGTGTTCTAGCCAAAGATTTTAATGGGATATCTCTGGGGACAGAAATAGGAATACTAAGTCAGATTAGGGGTGTTATATTACTCCTAAATCCCATTCTCATTGCCTCTGTTCAGAAAGGATGGCCCTGAAGTGAATTCCATTACAGTGATTAAAATGGAACCAAAAATCCTTTGGTTTTAACCAGAGAGCTCATCCTTTAGTACACTCAAAAAAACCCCTTGATCTCAAGAATTTATTTAACCAGCCTTATAAGCCTTGTAGGTGCCTATATGGCAAATACAGATTTAACAGATTTAACAGATTTCAGCAGTCCAAAGCATATGAAAAAGCAAATAAATCAAGATTTTTTTTTATTTAAACATTCAAAGTGAATAAAAAAATCTATACTACCAGAATCGTATATTTAAAAAAATATTCAAGTTGGTCTATATAAAAATAATTTTTCAATAATAAGCAATAATTATCAACAGTGTGGTAAGAGGATTTTGTTTTGGTTGGTTTGGGGTATTTTGGGGTTTTGTTTGTTTTGTTTTTTTCTGGTTCAAATAGGTTTTGGTCCTAAAGCACAAAATACTTCAGAGGTTCAAGGACACAGTATGTATGAAGTTAAAGTAAAAAACTAAAATGGTCCCTTCTGCCTCTCCAAAATGTATTAATTCATATAAGTAAGTCTGAAATGGCAAGAGTGTACTCTATTTTGTATTTTTCTGCTTGCAGGAAGTTACAAGTGATTTAATATCTGTTGTTTAACTTGGCAGGAACACCAGACAGCCATTCACTCACTCCCCCTCAGTGGGATGAGGGAGAGAAGCAGAAAAATGGTAAAAACTCATGGGCTGGGATAAAAAGAGTGTAGTAGGACATAA